TCAACTGTGTTACGTAGAACCACAGCATTGTGGCCAACAACATCTTTGAAAGAAAAAACACGACCTCCATCTCGGAAACCAACAACGTTGAAAACAACATCGCGAGAATCAACAGTCATACGTAGAACCACAACATTTTGGCCAACGACATCTTGGGAAGTGAAGCCAAAAACTACACCTTGGAAAACAACAACGCCGAAAACTACATCGCGAGAATCAACAGTTATACGTAGAAATACAACATTTTGGCCAACGACACCTCGGGCAGTAAAGCCCACAACTACACCTTGGAAAACGACAATATGGAAAACTACATCGCGAGAATCAACAGTTATACGTAAAACAACAACACTGCGACCAACAACACCAAACAATAAAGAAAGTAAGGTGGTTGTGATTTTATTGAGAGGCTTTATAAAAGTTTTATGCTAACCTTAAGAAATTGTTTGAGAATAAGCAAGTTGGTTTGTAGACTACTCAGCTCACTTTGCCTTGCTTCCGCATTTTTTCAAACGCCTCTTCAATTAGTTGAAGTTTCAATTGGTAATTTTATGCCACTTTCCGGTCTGAGAGGTAATAATAACATAATCAGAAAGGAGTAAAAATAACAAGTACTAAGTTAAGCTAAGTAAACTGAGATAAATAAGGGAAAATAGATAAAAACAAATATATTAATTTAACCTTTAAACACAATTCCAATGTAATATTGAGTAAAACTGGTAATGAGTTAAAAAAGACGGAAAAAATTGAAATGAAGTAATGATGGAAAATTGGATGCATGGCTGGAAACTCTTCAACGGTTGTACCTTAAGACTGGTGAAGACAAAACACGGGTTGTTTGTGGTCCAAGATTACTGATCGAGTACGATCAAGCACAGCATTATCAGGTGTGACTGATGTATACCTTCCCCCTGGTTATGTGAAAAATAGAAAATAGAAAATAGACAGAATTGACATACATGAGCATATATCTGAAAGCGGTGTAATAGGCTAAATTGATCATAGCCGTTGCTTTCTTTCTTATTTAATTTTCGTCTTTTTTTTTTTTTTTTTTTTTTAAATGAAAGACGGGGATGTAAAATCTTTCTTATTTAGGCTTTAATCGCGAACTCTTCCTATCCTTCTTTCATGCACATGTTGTGACCGTTTTAAAATTTCTATGCCCTCTCAGATAACGGTAGTATTGAAATCCCACACTATCAGTACATTGGATGTTTTAAAGATACATGGGCGCGTGCCATGCCTGAAGCTCTTGGACTTGGCTGGCCGGAAGGAAATCTTGCTTCAATAAAGAAATGTGCCACGATCTCGTGGAGTAAAGGGTACCAAGTATTTGGCGTTCAGTACAATGGGCACGAATGTTGGTCTGGAATGAACGCAAGTCTTACATACTCCAGATATGGTAATTCTACTGGATGTTCAAATGGTATTGGTGGACACTGGGCCAATGACGTCTACGCCTTCGTTTGTAAGTTGTTCTCGCTTCATGACAACTATCTGTAGGATGATGTTTTGCATTCACTTGATCGATTATGTTATTCTGGAATGGTGGTGATGATCACTCAGCATCGACACATAACAATGGACCTAACCCTATTTAATTACCACACTAACTTTATACGTAACTAGGCTAACATAATAACCTAATAATTTTAAACATACGCGTAATCAATAATTGTATCTCAGGCTGGTGCATGAAAGCTATTTACCGCTTTGTTCGGGATAACGAAATGAGGGCAAATGTGAGGGTTCCCGGTGAAGCCTGTGCCCTGTACCAAGATGATTTTCAATTATATGACAAGTATGTTGAAATATTCTAGTTACTTGCGTAACCTTCGGGAACTTCCCATCGGACGTAGACTGATAGTGTCATGGAAGTACATTCAAGAATGTCATGCCTCGGAGCAAAAAAAGAAAAGAAAAAAAAACTTGTCAACGTTATAAAAGAGAAAAAGAATATATATTGAGCTGAGAAATTTTGGCTGCAAAATAATCGGTAATTTGATTTCAGCGAAATGGACAATTGTTTCGTTTATCTTACTCGTCTTTTTTTGTTTTCTAGAAACAGTACGGTGTTCATTTGAGGTTTTGTTTATTATCTTTCAACCTCACACCAAAAACACAATAGTACTCAACTTCTCCACTTTATGTTTCGCCGGGAACTACAGGTGCTCGAGATAATCCCTTTTTTGCGGAAAAATATTAGCAGAAATTTAGACACATTTCGTTGGCTTCGCTAGCAGCTACTGGAACTTAGGTCCCAGCGGTTCCAGCACTATTTGAAGACAAACTTCCTACTAAGTTGATACGTGTATTTTATATCCAGACATTCAATTATGCCTTATATTTAATAAGTTGCGCATGCGTTAGGACATTGTGTGGGTACATTTTCTATTGCATGCTTGTAATCCTGATGAAAAACTAATTGAATAACAAGTTGAGTAATATTGTTCATCATCAGACACCGCCTTTGCTAACCTATGGCTTTCACTTGTGAACGAATCTGTGCATACAGCAACATTACATTCTCTGTTTTCTTACCTCTACTTTGCTTATTTCAGCCGTAAAACCCATTATTACCAGTTTGCCAGAGCCCAAGAACGTTAAATCTGGGACCAAAGTGACATTATTTTGCAAAGTATCAAGCTCTCTTCCTTTAGCTAGTATCATGTGGTACAGAGGAACAAATAAAATTCCCACCAACATTGTAACAATGGACGTTCATAAACAGGGTTATTACTGGTGTAATGCAAGTAATATACCACATGGACCAGCACAAAGTGAAAGACTTTTACTTGTTGTTACAGGTATGGGTACAGTGGATCACTAAATGTTTATAATACGACAATTCTTATTTTAAACGCTTCATTCGGGCAGATAATCTAGATCTTTTTTGCTATATTCTACCATGTAACCCATCTTGCCTCATCTAGGGAATAAATAGCGCCATATAAGATCATGCCAGTGAAACCTTGGTATTGCTCATCACTTGTTGATAATTCTTTTTCAGATTACTTCACGTCTGTTATAAATTTCAAGGCAAAGGAAAACAAGGCAAAGAATAACAAGGCACAGAATAACAAGGCAAAGAATAACAAGCCACAGAATAAYAAGCCAAACATAAATGACCAAGTAATTGATTGTTTTTAAWTATCAGGCCCATCTTGTGTGGTTATACACTGTTGCTGCTCAAAATAATTTTCATTTTTAGTTTCTGTGTTTTTGGTTTGATTCATATTTGGATTCGCGTCTCAGGAATCCTGACCAATTCTGATTTACTGATGTTGCTCTTTATGCGTTTTTCAGCCACAGGACCCTTGTGAACAAATTGCTAAATATCTCTCAAGCAAAGATAAACCAAGAGAGTATAAACATGCTAAAARTACATTAAATAGGTGGTGAGTACTGTACAATCAAATTAAATATATTGAAAATATTTCTATCTGGCGATGCATGTAAAATGTTTTTTTATGTGCTTGTGTTGTCGTGGTAGGGAGGAGTCTAACAAACTTATTGCGTTGAAATGTGTTATCTATGGAAAGAAGAAAAACCAAGACGAAGACTTGGACGACTATTATAGAGAACTCGTGGGGAATCTCACAGAAGGAGCGAAGAAGAACAAGATAGAAGGCTTGAAGATAGACTGGAAATCAATCTTGGTGAAAGACACAGGTATCGACATAAATTTAGAATTTCTTTATTCAGGTATTGCATGCTTACTTACATGTTTTTCTAATAAAAAAAAGGCCCTTAATTAGACCCTCTTTAAAATCCGAAAATGAACATCCACCTCCTTTCATTACAGGGAGTGCTGTGCATTTCGGATCTAATAGAGGCTTTGCACCATCACGTGATGGCAGCTTGACAGGAGGCCTAACAATAGAGTCGTTTTCCCCAGGGAAACTGAATTCTTTCTCATGTAAATCACATTAGACCAGATTCAATTGTTCCTGCCTCCTGTCATGGCTGCCATCACGTAATGGTGCAAAATTTAAGCCTCTATAGCCAGATCTAGCGTGTAGCATGTGTCAGATCGTGTGTTTATGACTCAGTGTCCCATCACATCTTTATAGGAATGTGTATAAAGGAAACAACAGGCAAGCAAAATATCAAAGGTTCCTTTACTTGGCAATCAACAAAAATAGGCGTCTTAGTGACTGTCGAGTGTCCTTTGGGACCGAATGGGTCGTCTGTTACGAGAAGTTGCAGCGGGGACTTCGATACTGGTGCTATGTGGACTGACCCAAATGATGACATCTGCACATACAAGTCAAAGAAAACTGAGGCAATAAATAACTTATCCAAGGTCGGTTATTTTCTCTTAGTTTATTATTATCAGTATAGGTTATGAGACTACTATGATTGCTATCCAATTTGGAAATAATTGGATGAAAAAAATTCCGAGGACTGACAAAATTGGAAGGGGCCAATTTGGCAGTCAGAAGAATTTTTTAAATTCAATTATTTCCATATTGGACAGACATGTAGTCCTATTGCAGATTAATTATATCA